TTGGGATTTCTATTTCAAAAAAAAAAAAACAACCTTCTTCTCACATTCACCTTTCTAAAATTTGCTATGGTAAGTTTTAACAGTATAATGAGGATGCGACAGTCTATCAGAGAACTCGCGTTTACACTAATAGCTTTGGGAGAAAAATTGCGGCCGTGTGAAAATTTTATTTCTCAATATATTCTTGACCATTTTTGCGTCCACGAGATTTTCAGTTTTTCTTTATCAACTATATAATAAAATAGGTTTTTTTTAAAGAAACCGAGCTTTTATATGTTCGAAAAGAACTTTGCGACATCTTGTTTTGCAGTCATTTTAATTTAGGAATCTCCTTTTGATTTTAGGATCAATTAAGTGAAGAACAAATTACCGAATTCAGAGAGGCATTCTCCTTATTTGACAAAGATAACGATGGTACCATCACGACCAAGGAACTTGGCACCGTTATGCGGTCTCTTGGTCAAAACCCCACTGAATCCGAGTTACAAGACATGATCAATGAAGTTGATGCCGACGGTAATGGTACTATCGACTTTCCTGAATTCTTGACCATGATGGCTCGTAAAATGAAAGATACAGATTCTGAAGAAGAGATTAAAGAAGCCTTCAAAGTTTTCGACAAAGATGGTAATGGTTTCATCTCTGCGGCCGAACTAAGACATGTCATGACCAATCTCGGTGAGAAACTTACTGACGAAGAGGTTGACGAAATGGTGAGCTTTATTGATATATTATTTATCTATTTCAAAATGTTCATCTTTTAAAAATTCCAACTTACATGACTCTTTGATTTGAACACAGATTCGTGAAGCAGATGTTGACGGTGATGGTCAAATCAACTACGAGGAATTCGTTAAGATGATGATGACCAAGTAATTTTTTTTTTATAAAAAACGTTTTGTAACCCTAATATGATAATATGTGCAGTCAGCAAAGGATAGGGAAGGTGAAAGCTGCGATATTTTATTTTACCCAAGCACACCATTTATACCGCCATCATCTTTAAGTTTTCAATCACCACAGACATTTTTGAACGATATTTTGTTTGTTCGACTTCATCTCATGTATTTTGACTTGAGGCTCTTTTGTTTTTTTTTTTACATCAATAAATCGAGATGATATATTCCCCATTGTAGAGCCTTGAAGCAGTTGTTTGGATTTATTGATTCACCATTAGGTTATTGTGTTTTGGGAAATTGGTTTTTTTGTTTATACTTTTTGTCTTCAGCATCGTTTCGATTATACATGTATCTTATTAGCCTCATTTTAAAAAAAAAAAAAGGTTACAACTTTAAATAAAGTAAAATTTAATTATTTAAAACTACCTTCAATATATTATAATATACTTTAATTATATTTGAATAAATGTATAAACACAATATTAAAGAAAATGAAATATTTGTTTGAGAAACTTTATTATACATGATTACATCATGATGGAAATTTCACATTATGTGAATATACATTACACCATATATTACGATAGATCAAAGAGAAGTCAGATGATTACCCTTACCACACTCTACATTCCTTAACCATAATTTCAATTTGATCGAATAGTTCTTTGTCAATTATTTCTTCCTCCTCAGTGCCAACATTTTTTTTCAACGCAAGACCCACTACCACAGATCTTCCTTCGCTCGGACTCTCCTTCTTTATTATAGATGCAATATGTGACGCGTATATTTGGTACAACGAGGAAGGGGAACCAAGGATAAAATTGACATTGGTAACAGGAGTTAAAGTTTGAGAAGTCGTAGAAAGTGAACCCAATGTGACGTGTATCTTAAAAAGAAAATTTTTTCAAAATTAATATCTATGATCATTTTATGATAAATCTTACTCGCTTACCAGACTGCCAACTTTTCCATATTGCGTGATCACAACAAGAATTTTGTCTTGAAAACCTGTAACCAATACTTCCGTGTGTTTATCATTAATCACTCGCGCGGCCTGTTTTGTTAGTAAAGGAAATGCTGACTCTGTCGTCATTATTCGACACGTATGTCGTAGATTTGGTAAAGATATACTGCAAGCCAAGCCCCCGAGAAATATATACAATATGGGTTTGAAATTACAATGCTATTTTTGAAAATGACGTAAATCTCTCCTATTGACTTCCATTAAAGTACTATCCGTAAATGCATTGTATATACGATGCCAAGAAAAAAATTGAACTTTGTTTCACGTGATCGTGATTGAACGATTGTGCAAAAGTCAATGATCTAAACTTAAAAAAAATTCAGTACGAAATGGCTTCGCCATTCAATTGAGCATCTCTTCGACATCATTTCCTTATTCTTTTGTTTTATTTAACAATGGCTTATAAGTTTCCGATCAAAATTTAGATTATCATAATGCATTAATCATTTTTTTTTTTAAAAA